ATCAAAAAAATATATACCAAACCATCCGGAAAAAATGGATATCCATTAGATTCCGAACCACGAAAAATACTTACATTAGGACAATATATACCACCAAACTTTAGGAAAAAAGCAAAATATGTTTTAAAATAAATTTTAAAATCCTTAAACTTACTTCAGGTACATAATAGAGCCAATCTCGTTGACCTTCTAATTCATGATAAGGATCTTCAAGACATTGAAACATATTTGTACGACGATGAAGATTTTCTTCTTGTGCACCAGCGCCTAGATATAACAAATCTTATTCAATATTTATTATCAAATATATATTCAGATATATATGTACCGTTTTTCCAACCACCACCAGGATGCCTAGATGAAGCCATATTTAATACAACAGAATTCGAGTTTGGATATATCATTTTGAAACACATGGCAACATCAAGACAATCACCATTAACAACAAACACTTGAGAACATTGTTCATACGTTTTTTGTTGAAAAACTGTATCATATTCGTAATCATTACCATATTGTTGAGTATTCTCAGCAGCATATGTCAATTTATTTTCGTTTAAATCTATTTTCGTACCATCAGGAAGTCGAAAGAATCTAAATAAATTTTAAGTAAGATTATTGCAAAGAAAAGAAGAATTTTTAATTGTTTTGTTTGTACCGATTGTATGTAGCATTGATTGTTTGCATTTGTACAACTTTACGCATTAAACGTCGTGTATTTGGACGAGTTTTTGTTGAGTTCCATACAGTTGCAAAGTGTTCGTGATTGTGGATATGATTAAGAGCAACGTCACGTGCATTATCATCATTTTTCAAGCATTCAAATTGTTCGCATGAAACAACATTGTCTTTTGGATCTTGAAGTGACGATGGAATTTGTATAGCAAATGGTGCACCAAGTGAAGATTTTTTTCCACCTCTTTGTTGGTTATTATGATCGTTTGCACTTGCCATTATAAAAGCTGAAGAGAAACTAGGTAAATGACGACTTTAAAAATGAGAGACTACTTAAAAATACCTGTTATTTCATAATTTGCATAATAATTGCGAATGTTTTTGATTGCACATGTAATTAGCAAACATGACGAATACTACATGTTAAATATCGATAGATCATCAGAATTTCTCATTTGACTATTTAATACATTTTATAAAAACGTCTCGATCGAATTTTTTTCTTCTCTCCTTCATCTGCTATAGTTGTGAATAATGACTCATCTTTTAATATCTGTTTTTGATTCAAGCTAATTTACTGCAATAACATGTAATAATAGAGGGCATACATTGATTTTAGGAATAAAGTGTCGATTTTATTTCGAGAAATAAAACATGCTAATTACATCGTACTGAAAAAATAAGGATTTTTTGTTGCATAGAGATATTAAGCAACTTTCATTAGATTGATTTACATACGAAAGCAAAAACAACGATCATTATAAAAGCAATATTAAAACTTTTAAATGATTTAACTTTCAATAACATCTTTTGTTTGACTTAATCATTATAGTGCAATTTTTGCAAAAAAATGTTTATGTAAACAAAAAAATTCGGAAACTACTAATGTAAAAAATTACACATATGATTTACACATAAATTATATTAATGATATTTTAAATATAGATAGAAAATGATTTTCTTATGATATTCAAATATTTTTGAATAATCATATACTATAGATTGATTTTCCAATGATGTTTATATAACTGTATATCCGATCGACAATGAACATATTAATTCTGTACATAAACATAGTATTATGTCTACTTAGTTGGATAATGAATAATAAAGATAGAGTTTGATATAAACAGTTGGTATATTATGCAATTCTAAGCAATTTAAACCAAGCAATTCATTTGACATAGTTTTATTATTGTAAAGTATAATAAGTAGTTCTCTCGGAATGAATAGTTTTTCTTAATGAAAACTTGGCTTCGAATAGAATTATTGTGTTAAATTTTTGATTAAGTGTGCTTATCAAAGATATTTGGGATTATATATATATATATTAAAAATAGTTAAATCTATTGATTATTTGACATATGAGAAAAAAAAATCTGAATAATTATAATTTATGAAATCTTTCGCATCGATATTTTTCTCAATTAGCTGAAAGTAAATAAAATGATTTTGAACAATCACAAGTAAAATAATAAATAGATGAACGAGTTAATTTTCTTCATTATTCTATTAATTATAGAGCGATAGAGAATTTTATCTTAATCCCA